TTGGACCTGTGAATTGGCCTCCAAGATCTTGTGATTTAACACCGCTAGACTACTTTCTGTGGGGCTATGTAAAGTCGTTGGTCTATGCGGATAAGCCACAAACGCTTGACCATTTGGAAGACAACATTCGCCGTGTTATTGCCGATATACAGCCGCAAATGTTGGGAAAAGTCATCGAAAATTGGAGTCCAGATTGGACTACATCTGAGCCAGCCGTGGCGGTCATATGCCAGAAATCATATATTAAATGAATTGCCACAAGATTATCTTTCGAATAAAAAAAAAATTCATGTCAATCGAATAATCCATCGTGGTTTTATTGCAACTTAAAGTTCTATACCTCTAAAAAAAACACCCGATATATAAACCTACCTAGTAAGGAAACAAAACCTTTCCCATCACTGGCCAACAGCAGCAGCAACAACAACTGGCAGCATCAAAAAAACAGGCAACAAACGGCAATCATAAAATCAACAACTATGAAATTCATCACCGCTCGGTGAAAAGCCTCGCCTCGTTGACACTTCCGCCTCGCTTTGGAGTTCGGACGAGTGTATAAAGTCCGGACTGGATTTGGATCGCCCGCCAGTGGCAGCAACATCATATGGAGCAACACCAGCAACAGCAACAGCAGCAACACTCAACTCGAGACAGACGACACAGCAGCAGCATCATCATCACTCACCGACGAAGCGGCAGCATAACGGTGACGGGTAAGTGAAATTAATTGCATTGTTTTTGGCCAATGAATTCCTAGTTGCCAGTTTTTGTTTTCGGCTTAAACGCCTTGACGCCTTTTTGCCAAAACACCAGCATCAACATCAGCCACCGAGCAACAAGGCCAACAACAGCACCAACAACTAGAACAACAACTAGAACAACAACACGGGGAGCAGAGGGCATCATCGCACTGCGGCCACAGCGCGTTCCTCTTTTCCCAAATCCATCTCCCCGATCCGCCTCCCCTTTCCCGCCCTCCTCACATTTCCCTACCCCCATGTCCTGTGACATTTTGCAGTTCATCACTTGTGATTGCCGCAGTATGTTGCACACAACATTCAATGGGCACAGTGCTCTTGGGTGTAGTGAAAATGCTACCAAAATAGAAGAAACGCAGACTTGCGGGTCGCAAATTGAAAATCCCCCGAAAGAAATTAATTCCCCTTCACTTTATCAGAGAAAAGTAACGAAGTACATTATAGAATATCAAGTATATATATAGTATATATATACACCAAATAAAAAAAAAAAAAACACCAAATAGTAGGTATATTAAAATAATGAAATATTCTTATTTGAACTAAACATTATTTAATTTGAATATACATATAGTTATGGTCCATAGTTAATTGGATTTACAGGTCTGAATTTCAAATTTTTTTTACGTTTATTTAGTCTGGAGTTTCAATGAATATTGCCAAAACTAAGAATTTTCAAATCTTAAGAGATTTAACTCTTTCTTTTAAAACAAACTTGTTGCAAGCAGGAAGCTTTTCTTCAAGTTTTTGTATTGTGTATCGAATGTTGTGCTGTAATTAGTCTTCGTCCAGCAATAAATACAATTTTAAAATAAAACTAGTTAGTATTTGAAATTGTTTTTCGCATTTCTGGTTGCACTGTGCGACAGTTAGGATGTTTTTAGAGCTGCTCCCTTCTCCTACTGCAACTCCCCCCGCCGCCGATGGCTGTTGTCCTCATCGCTTTATCGCGCCTAGACGCAACTCCTGCCTGGAGCGCCGGTTTCAGTGGCATAACCATGCCCATTCCCCTTCCACTCCCACTGCCAACATCCACTCCCACTCCCGCTTTCGTTCCCAATCCGAATCCGAATCGGAATCCAGCCCATCCTGCCCAACTCCCGCTTTTGGCCAGGAGTCTCATGGTGGCTCTTGCTCTAGTTAGTTACCATCATCAACATGTTGACATGTCTATGACTGCATGCATATGTGTGTGTGTGGCTGACATACTGTTTGTGACAGTGTGTGTGTGATGGGTGTGTGTGTGTGTTTGTGCGTTGCATTGCTACCAAACAAACGCTAACCAAGCTCAACAGCGTTTATCACTCATGCTTATGGTCTTGTTTTTGCGGTGATATATCACACTTGACACTCATTCATTCAGTTTCGGAGTTTAGTGTTTTGGGCTCGTTATGTGCCACTCCCACTGCCTAATTCCCAATCCCCTCCCACCTCTACTACGCCTCCCTCCCCCTCCTTCTACCCTTGATCCTCGTCCTTTTCGCCATTTGAATTTCATCACATTCTGAGGCAGCAGTGCGAACATAAACTTTCTCCCCCTTCGACTGGGCTCTTCATTGTTTTTTGGCAACGGCAATTGCGTAGTTAACGGCCACACAACTATCGTTAACTCTACACTTAAAAAAGAGGATTATCAGTTTGTTTTCAATTGCTGGAAATATTTATATTAAAAAAGTTAGTACTGTCTTAAAAAAAAAAAAAATGTGGACTAGCTGCTTAAGAATAGTCGAGCTGAAACAATTTAGACCACTTGAGCCTTTGACTCTAAAGCTTATAACACTTAAATTCTTTTAAATAACAAAAGCCTTGTTATTTTTTTGTCACAGAAAACCCTTCTTTAAATTAATATACTTAACTAATTAATATATTAAACCAAATATATTTGCCATCTTAAACATATATTTTATAAATCGAATACCACACAGTATTCCAAATAAATATATGTTACATATTTTTCAAATATTTTTAACAATTAAGCATTTGAAGATGTTATTCCCTTTTTGGCCCCGATCAATCTCTTATCCGTTACCAAAACATCAACTTTTTCTCAGCTCCGCCGTCGTGTGGCTTTTGATTTGGCGTGTCCCTGTTAATTTGTTGGGCGATAGATGGGGTCCAAAGTGGTGTTGCAGGAACCCAAATGGGGCAGGGTCCGGGGAAGTGGCAATTCATCTATCTGCATCACTCACTTGCACTTTGGAACTCAGCTCTGGGTTTTCTGTGGGTTATTTGTTTTGTTGTTGTTGCACGGGTTCTGTTTGGTTCTGTTTGTTTTTCGATTGCTCCACAAATGTTTATGCAGATGAATTGTATTTTGAGTTGTGTTTTTGTCTGGCTTGAAGCTGCTAGACAGTTGGAGGGAGGGAGATGGATCGGAAGAGCGAGATGGCTCATCCGCAAAGGACTCCGAGTCCTTCGCCGTTTGATGAATGGTGGCACATGTTTGCTAAGCTCACCATAATGTTGCTGTAAGTTGTGGCTGCAAATCCGGCACAAAGTAGGATTTGTTTATGAGCATTTTTATTCGCTGATGATTACGTTATTAGAAAGCGTTTAAAAATGTAATATTCTTTAAAATATATCTTTGTCGTAAGAAAAGTTACAAGGGGCAACTTATGCAAGCAATACAACTTATTTCATCCATTGCGATTGATTTATCGATATATGTATTTGTAATTTTTTTCATTTAATAAAGTATTGAAAAGGAGTGCAATATTTGCATGGTCTTTCCAAATAACTACACTTCCTTTCCCTTGGCAATCTTCAGGTGCAAGCCAAATTAATTAAAATCTCAGAAAAACATGGAAAAAATCACCCGCGGCTGTGCAGAAATATTCCAAAAATTTGGCCAAAACCCTGACAGATACTTTGAACCCCGAACTCGTAAACATTGCCAAAACCATAATTTGTTGTGTGTGCAAATTGTTGGATAGATTCCATTTAACTTTTGACTCCACCTCGATTGGGTGGACAGAGTTTCCAGGTAGCCGCCACTCAAGCCAATTGAGTTCTGTACTCCGCACTGCCGCAAAACGAATCCGAGTGCCCAGCAACCGAATCCGTAATTGTGTCTAAATTTAAAGGCGAATACGATTTTTGAGGAGCTCAGGAGGAGGGGCACATGGTCACATGGAGTGGAGAAGGAGCTGGCGCCTGCATTTTTATGGCATTCTGGCGACGTCGCCGTTCCCGTCGTTGTGGTTCGGTTGTCGTCTGGACCCGTCCGTCACCGCGGAAAAAGGTGTCAGGAATTTTTTGCATTCCGCATTTTTTGACAGACGGACAGGACAGGAGATGTGTGGGGGCATGGAAATGATTCCGCGGAGTCGCGCGGAAGTTGCAACTTGTGATAAAAATCGTGTGTCAATTCGATTTGTGACGTTAACCGCTGCCTAAACAACAACAACAAAGCCAGCACTTTTTGCAGGCTCGAAAAATGTTTCTGTTTCTGTTGCAATAGAAAAACGGACGCGTTACATGACATTTGTGGCAGCGAATTGGCAGCTTCCACAGGCTGACTTCTGACTGCTGACTGCTGGATGCTCGATGCTGGATGCTGGATGCTGGATGCAATTGCGGCATCTGACTGACGGCCACCCATTTTCCGGGAGGAGGGGAAAAGGCTTTCGAGGTGATTGCTACTGCGGTTGCGATTGCCTTGTGCAGTGGTGAAATCGAAAAATCTTGAGCTTAAACAAGGGTTAAAGATTCTCTAGTAACTCAATATTCGGCTAAAAAAGAGCAGCTTTGAATTCTTTCTAGTACATTTGTATTCAACCTAACGTAACGTATTCCTTATATATTATTTCTAAGGTTATTAGGAAACAAATTTTCTGAATTTATGAGGTTCTAAAAAAGATCTGATTTTCATTCAATAAAGAACCTAATAACCTAGGAACCGTATATGCCATTACAGATTTTGTGCTTTCTGGGGATTACAAGAATAGAGACATAAATAAAATCAAAGTGTTAGATTTCTGTACACTTACATTTTTCAAGTTCACAAGTTTATAGGGCAATACTACCTCATCTGAGATCCATATGAAGAATTGGCATACTTTATATTCCATTCAACCTTTAAATAATAATCTATATAAAATCAATAACATACCTAGATTTTTGATTTGAAAATAGTTCCTTGATGACAAAGGATCCATAGGTAAAGATTGTAACTCTACAGTTCTAACAATTTACCACATAATTTTAATGCAAAGGGTTGAAAAGTTTATCCCCCAGATTGATTTTTAAACAGATTTATTTAAAACACACTTGCGCTCGACTCACATATCAAATGAAAATTCTAAGTAATTCTCTTCTGTCGATCACTTCAAGGCGGACAGCCGATCGTCGAAGGAGGGCGTGGCCCTATGGATACCTCCGCCGAACCAGGTCGAATGCCACCCAGCTCTCCGGAGCACTCAACGTCGGGATGGAGCATGGGTGGCCGTTGGGGCCTTCTGAGCGGCGCAAGGAGATCGTGCACTTCGTCAAGATGGGCATCCTGCTGCTCATCTGGTTCGTCTGCACCTGCATTGTGTTCACATTCGCCGCGGCGGTGGAGCCACAGAGCACCATGGTCACCGTGGAGCCCAACAAGACCGCCCTGAGGAAGGTGGAGCTGCCCAACGAGGCGGTGAGGATCACGCTCCAAGGACCCGTGAACGTTTACTCCACGAACTATCCCGAGGAGCACCACGGGGGCTACGGAGCGGGTTTGCGGGTGGAGTGGCGCAGCTCGGACCTTAATGTGACCTACAGTCGCACCGCCATGTGGAACATCGCGATGGAGAGCGATCCCGATGTGTACGAGGCGGTGGCGAAGGACTTCAGGATCCCGCGGGAAGGTGGCGCGGGCGCCCAGGCAGTGGTTTCCCTGGAGAGCAGGAGCGACTCGCCGGTGTCCTTTCACATGACGATGGACACTGGAGCTCTGCTGACGGACATGGCTGTCCTGTGTGGCGCCCTCCTGCTCCTCGTCCTCTACTTGCTGATCATCTTCGACATCATAGACCACACGTTCGCGGCTCTGATCATTGCCACCACCGCGATCGCCACGCTGGCGACCCTGAACCACCGACCAAGTGTGGAGAAGATCGTCTCCTTTATCAACTTCGAACCCCTGATGCTGCTCTTCGGACTGATGACCATCGTGGACATCATGGCCACCACTGGGGTGTTCGACTACCTCATCGTGTGGACCTACAGGATCTCCAGGGGTCGTCCTTGGTGGCTCATCTTCTTCCTCAGCATGATGACCGCCTTTCTCTCCGCTCTCCTGAACAGCGACATCATGGCACTGGCTCTCACCCCGATGACCATTCGGCTGTGCGAGGAGATGTCCTTGCGGACCACCTACGTCCTGGTGGTGGTGGCCTTATTCGCGGACATGGGTGGAGCTCTTACCCCGATGGGGAACCCGCCCAATGCGATAGTTACCACCAATCCCACGGTGGTGGCCCAAGGAGTGGACTTCGTCAACTTTGTGGTGCACATGGCGCCGGGAGTCCTGGTTTCGATGTTCGTAGTGTTCGCCATAGTCTACGTGACCCACAGGAAGACCATCTTCGTCCTGGACCAAAATCAGACCGAACTGGTGGAGAAAAAGAACAAGGAGAAGGAGCCACCCAGCCAGGAAACCAAGGATCGGATAGAGCAGCTGAAGAAGAAGGAGTACGGGAAACACTGGCTCAAGCCGGTGGACAACTTCCCGGAAACGCTGGCCAACCTGGAGGCGGAGAGTCGGATTAGGGACAAGCCCCTCCTCATCAAGTGCTGCATCGCCCTTGGATTCGCACTGATCTGCATGATGCTCCACTCGATTCCCCAAGCCGCAGATGGCGCCTCCTTGGGCTGGGTGGCCATTCTGGCCACCATCCTTCTGATCATCCTGCGTGACAACCACGACTTTGACGCCTCTCTGGCCATCATCCAGTGGACCATCCTGCTCTTCATCGCCGCCATATTCGTGTTCACGGAGGTCCTGTACGAGCTGGGACTTTTCGAGTGGCTGGGGGATCGGGCCGTGATGCTCTTGACCAGGTTGAAGATCGAACACCAGTTGGCCGTCACCATGATGGCGATACTCTGGTCCACAGCCCTGCTGTGCATATTCATCGACAACGCCGCAGTCACCATCTTCATGCTGCGGTTGTGCTTCCAAATGGACGTCAAGGACCACATTCCACTTCCCCCGATGTTCTGGGCCCTGACCTTCGGCGCCTGTTTCGGGGGCAATGGATCCTTGTTCGGCGCCGTGTCCAACGAGATCATTGCCCTGATCGCCCTGCAGCACGGCTACAAGATAACCTTCTGGCACTTCTTCGTCATCGGGTTTCCAATGATGCTGGCAACCCTGGTCATCGGGTCCGCTTATCTCCTGATTGCGCATGTGGCTTGCAGTTGGCATTAACAGGGGTTGGGGAATATCTATCCTATCAAAGTATCAATTTGTGGGTACGTATGTTAAGTATTCTTTGGTTTGAAAGAAATTATAATATAGTGTTGTATCTGATTCTGATTATTTGCTTGGAAATTTCTATATTTTGTTTATTGGAATATTCAGAAAAAACATACAGAGTGGGATAAGAACCCAGTGTTAAATCGTGCCCCTCTACTTCCACCTCCATTTGGAGCATTGTGGGCCAGCCGGCTCATTTCTACTCCACAAAAAACCAAAACGCACACAAGAGCTCGTGGAACGTGTCCAAGTTTTGATGGCCGACAGCAGTTTGTGCTGCATTTTGGCCACAATTGTCAGGTGTCGCGATATTCCACCGCCTGTCAATCCGATTTCAGTCAGATATACATACACATATTCTATTGATTTAGAGCAAACGGGAGAGGTGACGGAATAATCCCACCTAAATAGTGCGAGCCAAGAATCGAAATTGCTCAAGAGCTTTACGTAATTGTAATACCCGTTACTCGTAAAGTACTGCATTCATTGAAAAATACGTAACAGACATCAGAAAGTTTTCTTTCATCAGACCAATTGATTCAGCCAGGCGTCGAGATCTTGAAAACTTTAAGAGATAGTATTGGGATTTAGGTCCGTGTAGTGTTACGTAACGTATTGTGACTTAGAAAAATTGACACCTCATTTGAAATACATAGTTTATCAGAGTAAAGGGTTTCTTCGTAGAAAATTTTAAATTCTTTCATAGGTTAGACCCCATACCAAATGTATACAATTTTAAAAGTTACGTTTGTTACATTTTTATTCGTTTGAAAATAAACGAATGTACATATGTACATATTTTTTCTTGAATAAAACGATTTTTCCCATTTTCCATTTTTTTCTTGACAAGTTTCAAACGCTGAAGACGAAACACAAAACTAATAAAGATGCGTAATGGCTGTCTGCGCACAAATATTGGAAAATAATTACTAAGCGGGGAAGGCGAAAAGAAACCTGAAAAAGGGGGTTGGATGGAGGGAGCACTCATTTTAGGAATGGATCACGAAGAAATCATAGCTCTTCCTCTGCTTCAAATTCGAAATCTCCCATTCCTCTCTACCACACATCCTTTCAGAACACTTACCTTCTCCCCTCCACGAATTCCCCGTTATCCTCTTGCGGTGTGCATGCAACAATTGTTCCCTGGGTCACGCATGCCAGAAGGAGATGGCCTACGAAGGGGGCAAGAATAACTTTTTAGCAAAAAAGCAGCGCAGAAATTAATGCTCTTCAAGTGCTGGAAATGGAAACTCTTTAATGTTCCCCACTCTCGCTCTCTCTCGCCGCACTCACCCCCGCCTTGCTTCATTTTCAATTTCAATAAATAACCTTGATTTAAGCGGCAGCGACGTCGACGCCGGCAGCGCAGTCAGCATTTGACCAGATGCCTCCCCCTCTCCCCCCACACACACACACAATGGCCAGACCGGCCCCCACACACAAACACAAACACCTGTCACTCGCCCCCCTCCAGTGAAGCAAAAAGAGAGGGCCTGCTCTTAAATCAAAAATAAGGGGAGCGCAGGCGCTCTGTCGCTCTTTCGCGCTCTCTTTCGACCCTCGACGACGTCGACGTTTCAGTTGTCAAAAAGATGTTTTAGTCGTCGACTGCGGCTGAACGGAATCATGTCGCATTTTCCGAGGTTGCATTTTCCGAGATTGCTATTGCTGGATTTTTCATTTCCGCCAGCCCTCTGAACGGTAGGGTGGAATAGTAAGCTGCAGTAACGGTGCTTCGCCCGAAAATTGCAAGTCCAGAAACAGTTTACAAAAATAACACGAGAAACGAAAGTTCTGCGCGTCGAAATAAATAAACATAAATCTTGTGGCAAGCCGTCAGTAAATCATTAAATTAATAGCCCCACCAACACACACACACGTACACGCACACACCGACGACGAAGGAGAAGAGGCAGCAGAAGGAAGTGAAATTGGCGGCAGTTTGACCGCAACAACAATAACAAATACGCCTGCAACACACACACAAACACAGAACACACTCACGCGTTCGTCATCAGCCGTTGGGCCCCCTTCCTCCCCCTCACTACGCCACCCCCGCCCATCCAGAAACCATTGTGACATTTGATTTATTTGACGTGTGTGTTTTTGATAGAAGCTCAACACGAAACTGACACACACACATACACACTCACTGAGTTGCCAAAGAATTTATTTAGTGAACGAAAATAAAATCAGTGTTTTTTCGCGTATGTTTGAAGTGAAGTGTGACAACAGAAGGGAACCAGAAACAGAGGCACAACACACGAAAAATATAAAACAAATCCATCGCTATCAATGAACAGCCGGAATTAATTGCCAAACAGCCAAGTAATCTAGTAATTTAACCTTCGAGAGCGGAGCCCCAAATAATTTCACAAAATGATGCTACACGAGGCTGTCATGCTGGAAATCTATCGCCAGGCGTTGAGTGCAAGGTGAGCTACAAAGCTATACTCTATAATACACGCCCCCGAATCGCCCCTTTATTGCGTTTTGTTTGGGTTTCCATTCGGAGTTGCGTTATTTTATTTCGTGAGGGAGGAGTGTAAATGTGATTAAAATGTGGAAGGAGGAATTTGTCAGTGATTTTCCATGTCAAATTATTCTTTCTCATTTTTTAATTAGAATAACAGTATTGAAAGGGTCCCTGAATTAGTTTTCAAAATCAACTGAAATTAATACGTACTTTTAATTATATATGTTATATGTGTTAACTAAAACAGTCTGGATATATGTTTTTGACCGCAAATTTTAGTTTAGGAGTGTTACGTTTACATTTTGTTAACCTTTGGGGTCCAGCTTCATGTTGATACTGTTTGTTGGTATTATTTATGAAGGTGACAAAAAGGCATGTTTCGTTAGTAATACAAAAAGTTTGATGGCAAAACATTTGTTGCTGACTAGTTTGTCAAATGTTATTTAAAAATTAGACATATAAAATAAGTGTGCAATGCATTTTAAAAGTTAAACCAACCAATTTTATGTTTAGTAAAGATTAATAAGTTGAAACTAAAAGTTTTAAAGTTTAAAACTTGAGTGGTACTTGTTGCCAAAATGCTTCGTAAAAACACTTTGTATGAATGGTCTAAAATCAATCATCTTCACGCCCTGTTAAAACCCTTCCTGAAAATAACTTCACTTTTTAAGTTGGCATTTGCTAATATCAACATATCTTTTTTAATGTCGATTAATGTTTAATAAAACTTTGTGATTATTAACACTTTGTATGTTTTGTTCATAATGTTGATAACGTATTAAAATATTATTAATCTCTTACTTTTTGTTCATAATGTGGATAACGTATTAAAATATTATTAATCGTGTCTGTTTGAATTACATACGTGTATCAACTACTTAAAATTGACAACAGTTTTAAATAAGATACAATATGGTAAAAATGATATGTTTTTAATGATAATTTGTGTAAGGCTAATAGCTTTAATGTATATATTCGATCTCATTTAGTGCTATTTAATTAGGAATCACTTATGGATTTTACACTGCGGGAACTATTCAATAATATTTTAGCTCTAAAAATGGATGATTTATTTACCTTAACACCGAGTCCCACATTTCTATGAATGACAACTAACCTTTATCTTAACATTGATTATTGAGCTAACTGGATTTTGAGTTAGTCGTGATCCGTTCAACTTGTTTGGCATATTGGCATTTTCCTCATTCCCAATCTCCCCTCTCTCTCTTTTCTTTCCAGCGAGTTGGCAAGTCCGCGTTGCCAATCCAGGGAGTCCAATGCTTCAGCTGGAGTGGGCACAGGATCCGGCGACGTGCGGTGTCCTTCCAATGAGTCCCACTGCTCGGCCAACGATCGCTTGACCCCGGCTGCCACGCCCACGCCCACGGCCACGCCCATCTCGCCCCACTCGGTGGGCCTTCCTCTGACGGCAACCCTTCCCCCCGCAGCTGCAGCCGCCCTGCTGCCCCCCGCAGTCCGCTGCGATGGCCGCCTACCTGGCCGCCGCCCAGCAGAACCACCTGCTCCTCACGAATCCCCCTGGCGGCGGCCGCCTCCTTGGTGCAACAGGCGACGCAGCAGGCGGCGGCGGAGGAGGGGGGAGCCGGAGTCGCCCGCTCTGGACTTCAGCCGGAAGCGGCGCTCCAGCGAGGGGGAGGAGGAGGAGGAGGAGGGCGAGGAGCAGCAGGAGCAGGAGGCGGAGCCCGACCAGGATGGCCAGGGACCCCTGGACCTCTCGGTGAGCACGAGGAAGCGGCAGGGTCAGGACTCCCCGCCGGCGAGGAAGATGCCGAGGAGCATCTCCGCGGACTACAAGTCGCCCCTGCCACCCGGCAGCTGGATGCCGCCCATAAATCCCTACCTGGCGGCAGTGGCGGCCAAAACTGGTGGATTGGGCAGCTCCAAGATGGCGCCCAGTGAGGCCAGCAAGGCGCTGGAGAAGATGAGCGAGATGAGCCGCCTGGAAACCCCGCCCCCGGTGGGCAGGAGCTCCTCTGGATTAGGAGGAGCGGGAGGAGGAGGAGGAGTGGGGTCCAGTTCCAGCTCAGGGGGAAGGCACAGCGCCTGGCAGTCGCACTGGCTGAACAAAGGAGCCGATGCCGCGAAGGACGTGTTCAAGTGCGTGTGGTGCAAGCAGAGCTTCTCCACGCTGGCCAGTCTGACCACCCACATGAAGGAGACGCAGCACTGCGGCGTCCAGATCCCCTCTCCCTCGGGAGGATCGGGAGTAGGAGCAGGAGGCGGAGGCGGAGCTCCCTCTGCCCCGCCCCCCTCGAGATTGCCCGCCTCCGCATCGAACTCGGCCTGCTCCTCCAGCAGCAGCTCCACGTCAAGCTCCTCGAACTCCTCCAAGTCGGAGCTGAACATGCTCATCAAGGAGACGATGCCGCTGCCCAGGAAGCTGGTCCGCGGCCAGGACGTGTGGCTGGGCAAGGGGGCGGAGCAGACGCGCCAGATCCTGAAGTGCATGTGGTGCGGCCAGAGCTTCCGCTCGCTGGCCGAGATGACCAGCCACATGCAGGAGACGCAGCACTACACGAACATCATCTCGCAGGAGCAGATCATCTCCTGGAAGTCGGGCGACGAGCGGGAGAGGCCCTCGAACGGAGGAGCTCCAACTAATCCAAGTGCTCCTCCTGCTCCTCCTTCGAGTGGACCTGCTCCATCGGTGAGTGCCGTACTCACCTGCAAGGTGTGCGACCAGGCCTTCGGAACCCTCAAGGAGCTGAGCAGCCACATGGCCCAGCAGTCGCACTACAAGGAGTCGCCCACCTCCTCCTCCTCCGCCTCCGCCTCCTCGCCCCCCCGCCACCAACTCGGGCAGCTCCAAGCGAGGCAGGCAGAACCGCAACGAGAAGCGCAAGAAGTCGCTCCCGGTGCGGAAGCTCCTCGAGCTGGAGCGCTCCGGATCGAACTCCAGCTTGGATTCCGCTTTGAAACCCCTGAGGGATTTCGCGGCAGCCACGAAAATCACCTGTGAAAAGTGCGGCAGTAAGATCGAAACCGCTTTGTTTGTGGAGCACATAAGGAAGTGCCTGGGCGAGAGCATCCCGATCCCTCCCAGGCGGTCCAACCCAGGAGCAGAGCGCCTCCAGAGTCCCAGTGCGGGATTGGGAGGGGGAGAAGCCTCCCTCGGTGCTGAATGCCTTGGAGCAGCTGATCGAGAAGAGCTTCGAGTCACGAGCGGGCAGAACCATGACCCCGGGTGGATACTCCGAAACTGGAACCCCACTAGGAGCCAGCATCCTTAAGCGGTTGGGAATCGATGACAGCAGCGACTACACGAAGCCACTGATGGACGCCCAGTCGATGCACCTGCTCCGATCCTCGTACGCCTCCCGCGATCGCAGTGCCAGCGAGTCGAGCTCCGCCAGTCGGGTGGAGTCCTCCTACACGCCGGACAGGCAGCAGGCCACGCCCCGCCGTACCCCGGACACCCCTGCCCCGCCCCCTCCGCCACCGCCCACCATCAAGGCGGAACCCCCGGAGGCGGAGGCCGCAGTGGGCGGGGACTCCAGTCCGCGGCAGCAGATCCACGTGAAGAAGGAGTTCAGCATGGAGGCGAGCAGAGAGAGTCCCCGCTCCACCAGCGAGTCTCCAGCGCCGCAGCAAGAGGGATCTGCCCCGAATAACGGTAGCCTGCTGGCCCTCAACTCCATGTTCGATCAGCTGAGCGGCGTGGAGAACAACAACAACAATACGGGTAAGTGGAGAGATATCTAATGGACATGCTTGAAACTAGTGGAGAACGAAACTTAAAGGCTGGAGTTTCCTCCATGTGACATTTTTCTGGAGACAAATAATAGTTTATTTTTTTTATGATATAGTATATTTTTTTATTTTAACAAGAAAAAATATTTTCTTGGTTAGAGTAAAATCATCTTAGGGTTTTTCTTTGTCCTGATTTTTTATTAATGTCACTAACGTACAAAATTTAAATTGTAAAAAACCTTTTAAATTGTTTAATGCATACATGGTAGTTTCTGTAATATTTTTTTATGCCCAAATAGCTCAGAAAACAAGCTATTAAAAATATTTTTTATTAAAAATATTGCTTGTGAATTTGAAGTCAAAATAATCCTATTGTTCTTGCAACTTAATTTTTGCAATAAGCTTAGGAGCTTAGGAAAGAATACTTGGCATTGTCATTTGCTCATTTCTATCTGCTTAAAACACGATTTTAATGTTCCTTTCTATTCCTGTTTCCAGGACACTGTTACAACAACAACAACACAACGTCGAGCAGCATTTCGGCGAAGAAGCCCAAGGCTCATCCCCTGGCTGCCCTGCAGAAACTGTGCGAGACCACGGATCCCCCTGCCTCGAATCCCCGCAGCGGATCCGCATCCGCAGGGTCTGCATCCGCATCCGCGTCCGCGTCCGCGAACGGGAGCGACCTGGTGGCCTTCAGCTGGGCGTGCAACGAGGCGGTTCTGAGTGCCAGCAGCGGAGGCTCCGGCGGGGATCCCTCGATCATCAAGTGCTCCTTCTGTGATACGCCGTTTGGGTCGAAGGGCGCCTATCGCCACCACCTGTCCAAGGTGCACTTCGTGAAGGACACGGGCGAGGACTCCCCCGGCTGAAGTCCCCGGCTGCCCAGAGCCCCAAGTCGCTGCCCATGGCCTCGCCAAAGAGGTCCGCTTCCAGGAGTCCGGCGACAGGATCCCAGCAGCCGCCTCCGTCGCCCACCATCAATCCCTACGACGAGAGCCCCCAGTCCAAGTTCCTCAAGTACACGGAGCTGGCCAAGCAGTTGTCCTCCAAGAACGCCTAAGGATCTCCGGCAGGTTCGAGAAAAGTGAGCTAAGGATTCGGAAAAATTACTACAACTCTAAAAACGTACAGAGATGTCAGGTCATCTATAGGAATAATGGGACAGTGAATACTCTTTTAGCGAACAGATTGATTCAAAATTGTAAAAGATTATAGATCCTCACAATGAATGGCATTGAGTTTATACTATATCAGAATACTATATAGTGACTCTTTAAAAAACAGCGCATCCAAAGCATAAGCAAAACAGACAGCAATATTTTATTAATTTAATAGAATTTTATTAATTTGATAGAACTTTAAAGGTAAAATTTTGCGAAATCCGATATCAGGCAATGTTATTCAACATTGAAGTATTCAAAATATTAACTGAAAAATAGTGAATCCAGAGGATATTTGTTAATGAACAAAAAGTATATCTGAAAGTGATCTGTTCGCTAAAAGTAGTCGCTAGTCATCCAAACTGATTTCAAAAATGTCCCTGAAATCTGCAAACGATTTGTAATTCCCAATTCAAAATCATTCTCTGATCTGCAGAGAACTTACGCTCTTTCTCTCCACTTGGCTCTCTCGCCAATCTCAAGCAGACTTTGCAGCGCTGCACACCCACACTGGCGCAGGGATTTCCCCTACTTTGCTGAATTCGCCAAGCAGTTCCCCACTTTCTCAGCTCTCTCTCTCTTTTGGCTTCCCCTTGTTAAGTGACGTCACGGCGACGGTGGTCCGCTTTTTATTGTTTCCCAATCGGACACTCGCAGTCGGACGTGCGAGCGAGAGCGGGCTAGCCAGCTGGAAATTCAATTACCACCACTTTGACGAACTGCTGTCCATCAAAACGCGTCGGACAGAGACGGCGATACGAGCAGAGTGACGAAAGGCGACGACACGAGTTCGTCAAACTGGGGTTGGATGGGGGCGAGAGAGACAGCAACAGCCGGTGGGTGGGGAGAGAGCGAGAGAGTGAGTGAGCGCCACTATTGAGTGCAAATTGGATTGGAATCGGAGTGCAAATCGGATTCGAGTGCACTCAGAAACGAGTCGAAAACTACTTATTTATTTATTATGCCGCAGTTCCTGGTCAAAAGAAAAGAATAAAAGCGTGCCAAAAAATTCGAAATACTTAAATCTAATAGGCTAAACTAAACCATTAAATCACTACGTCTAAGCAATTACAAAACAAACGCAACGCAGTATACGTAAAACTAAACACTTAAAAAGTTAACCTCATCGATGGATGCATTTTACGGTCGAAGGAACCTTTTAGCGATGCATATATAGCCCTTATACGAGATAATGCAGTCAGTAAATGTAAATACTTAGCCAATAGCACTTTCCTTCCATATGTCTAAAGATTATCAATATTTACGTAAAGATATAGAACGTCGAAATCAAAATGTAGCCACAGCAACGCATGTATACGGAAACAATTTTAAAATTATATATATACACCTACGAACTATATACATATACACCCATGTATACCAGCAACTCCAATCTCAACAATAACTAAGAATCTTGAATATCTAACCTAAGATTTAAACCTAAGAGGAGGGAACTTTGCAGAATGTAAAACATTTCATCATTATCAACAACAATCATTATTGTCGTCACCTCTCGTCGGGAGTTACTTATAGTATATCTATGATATATGGCAACTATGTATACGACTTGTATTTGAGTTTTTGTGATATTATTTTTAAAACGAAACCGTTCGCTTCCTTTTCGCCACGACCCCAAAACCCCCTATATATCCTGTAAACCCCCCACCCCGCCCCTTTAGATCGTAAGTGTAAGTTATATAAATGCAATAAAGGCGCATCACTCAAAATACACCCACATGATTTTCTCTCTCCGCGAAAAGCGAAATAAACCGAATCTGGACTTGATCTAATTGAAAACTTTGATTCCAAATTAGTGCAAAAATCTGCAATTCAAAAGGAAGTTACCAACTAATAGAAAGCAAGCGAAGAGTTCAATAAAGAGTTGTATGTTTCCGATTTAAGCGTTTAAAAAGATTATTTTTGGTGTTTATGGGAGTGGGTGGGATTAATTTTTTGGGATCTGATTAAAATTTTTTTTAAAACAAGTGCTTGTGTTTCCTTTGTTCCTTTCTATTAAACTGATGACAGTATATATCATTTAAACAACTGTTCGGAGCTAAGTTTCTGTGTTTTGAAAAATAGACGGCAATAGAATTATAATTAGTAATTATATTTTTTTCATTGCAAGTAAACATTTTAACAAGCCAAACCAAAAAAAAGTAAGTGAAAGAGAGACAAGTCCCCAACTATTATGATTATGTTATAATATTATTCATACAATTAGTTAATAATAACCAAGGTAAGTTTCCAAAGCCTAAGGCGACTATAAATAAATCTCTATAAACTTATCCCCACTCTTTGGTAAAAGAATATAAGAAATATATAATAGGACGCAACAACTATATTTTTTAAATTTTCCAAGCATGACTTTATATGCCACTCATACGACAGTCAGCACATTTACTTTTCAAACAAAATATTCAAAAATAAAAGGTCACTGTAGGAATTGCTTTAAGCTATGACTTTAGTTTTTCAATATGCTTTTATATAATATATGCCCAAATGGTTGGCCATCTCCCAGCAGTTGCTCAATAAGCTAATCATGGCTGTGTTTTGTTTTAGCCAGCCTTGGGCAGTGGCCTAATCTGCAATTAGCCCGGCTTTTCAATTGCTCCCCAATCGGGCGAGTTTTGGGGCTAGCCAAAATCCCATTTAATTGTGGAACGATGCTGCCCGAAAACATGGCATATCAAATTGTAAACTAATATTTGCTAATAAACACGCCGAGTTAATTAAACCTGAATTATGGGGCAAATGGTTGTGTTAACTCCGCTGGGTGGTGAATTAGGGGAGGGGGAGGAGGAGGGGAGGGGGAAAGGACGATGCAGGAACAGGAACATGCGCGAAATGTGAACGCGATTCGCTGATTTATGGGCAACAAAGGATTAAGACAACGACATCCAGATTCCGATAGCAACTTCATGCCCATACGCACACCCTATCCCCCTCTCCCTCTCTCTCTCCCTCTCTTCCCCCGTCTATTGCCTTCTCTTTCGGTCGACGTTGATGACGATCCGACGCCAGCAAAAATCTCCTCGAAAACTTCAATTGCCAAAGGATTCATTTTCACTTAAAATTTATGATGTGTGCGCGTTGTGGGCGGGCTCTTACATACACCGAGAGAAAATCACCTAAATGGGTCATCAAATTAAAAAAAACAAGCAGAAAACAAAACCTATGTATATCCTTTACAGTCATTCTATGATCGTGAGTTTTGTTTAAGTATAAATCTGTTTTTAGGCACATGACTTTGTTTAAACATTCTTTAATTCAATAAAAATTTATTTTATTTGTTTACAGTTAGTTTTAAGCAATTTTAGTTCATACTCAAGATTGTGCAATGGTTTACCATTTCATAATTTGTATTTTTCATTCATTTACCAATTCAATGGTTGTCAAACCAATAAAATCTTTGTTTTCAAATTCCAAAAATGTCATATTAGGTATATTATTTTTTTCGGTGTATACTGTACATACATGATATGCCTCGAGGGAGTGGGGGATGAGGGGGGACATGTGCTGGGTGTCACATTTGTGTTAAGAGATAATTTTTGGAAAATGTTCCGAACAACTTTTCTGGCCCGCCTCAGTTTTCAGTTTGGCTTCATTGATGGCTTGGTTTTCGGGCGTTTTATGGGGGGTTTCGGGGGGAGGGCGCGGTTTTTCTTGCCTCCGAAAGTTGCGCACGGGACACCTTTGGGTTGACCTCCCACCCCCCGAACTCGTCCGCTTTTCCACCGCTGCTCCGCTTAATGAGATACAAACACATAAATTCTGAAAAGTGTCATGCATCGCACATAACGGTTTACTTTTTTGCTCTTTGATAAGCCAACAAAACTGCCGACACTGACACTCTCTCTATGCCTAAGTGGGTGGGAGGGCGAAAGTGGGCGGGGTGTGTTGGAGCGAAAGTGGGCGTGGGTGTGTGGGCAAAGTTAACTCCTGAGCCCCGGGGCAATAGACAAGGAAATCAAATTTACATGGCCAAAATGTCAAGATCGCAAGACGGAGGAAAGTTTTAACAGAAATTAAAAGTATGGAGACTTATGAAAGGCATAATAATCGTTAATTTATATTTAATTTTTACCGAGTAAAATTTGCAAACCGTTCGTTTATATTCAATCGCAAAAATAAACCAATACGTTGCATAGAATTCGTTTTTTAATGTCAGCATAAAAAAACCCAAATTTGTAATTCAACATATTTGAACATTAGATTTAGGTAATTATCTGGAAGTACAGAAGAAAACAAAATGTCTATATTAACCAAACAAACATTTATTTCATTCAATGGCTTTAAATGTAAGGAAATAAAATAAGAAAAAACGTCGATCAAAATGAAAACCTTATTAATAAATTTAATTAAAAGGTAAAATAACTATAGCAAATATATAATTTTAGATATTTGTTTGTGTAGGGGAGGGTGGTCCCATACCGACCCCCTAAAAGGCAAAGGCGATAAAGGTGAGAAAAATCAATTTTTCAGTTCAGATTAAAAATTTACTATGTAGAGGGATCAGTTTACTATACATCTAAATGATTATTAAGTGCGTAGGTGCTTTGAAGCGTTAGATATTCAGGAAAATATAAAACTCCACTTTTTGGTCGTACTCAAAAGTAGTGGTCCGAAACCGACCCCCTATTTCTTAACAGAAAAATTTAATAACATAAAATAGAATTTAATGATTATGACGTTTATTAAGAAATATATTGAAGGTTCTTTCCAGAAAATAAAAATTAATGTATGAAATAAAGGGCACTGTAGTCAATTGATGAAGTCTGAGTTGTCCTGTTTCTCATAGTAAGTTTTCGTGTTGTTTTCGCGTTGTTTTTCGAAAGCCGCTCGTTGATGACTGTCTCTTCGCTTGCTGTCTGATGTTTTTGCCGTTTCTGTTACTTTTCTTTACTGAATCTTGTTTACTTTTTCATATTTTCCAAAAAAAAATATGCTATGACATATTAAGCTGCCAATAAATGGGGGTCGGTTTCGGACCATCACTTCGCGGTCGGTTTCGGACCACCACGACCTTTTCTGATTAACTGCTCGGCATTAACTAAAGACGCGAAGAGCGATGTAATTCTAATTATGTGAGTGAAAGCTAGGACTATCAACGATCAGAAATATTTACTCTCCGATTTTTATGCGGAGAAAAAAAACTTTAAGCTCAAGTTCAGTAAAGCTCAAAAATAAATGTCACAGGCGTTGAAACAAAACAAACGGAAAAATTGCAGTGAAACAAAATAAGTCAAAGTGGCTATCTATCTCCAAAATGTCTGTGTTATAACAGCTTTTCACTGAAGTTACCGACAATTCGGCTAGCATCGCCATCTCTGAGAAACATGGGGGGGTCGGTATGGTACGACCGGTCGGTATGGGACCACCCTCCCCTATAAAATAAGCTATTATAAAAAAAAACTTATTTATTAAGTGAATTTTTTTTTCATATGTTACTTATTGTATAATTGTGCATTAAAAAATACTTATTCATTATTAAGTTAAGTTTCCTATTAAATATACATGTATTATATTTAAACTCTTAAACTCTTTTGCGATGTGTGGCCACGATGTCAATCCGTGTGATAATTCCACCACCCCAAATCCTCCCGCCAAAGGACGAAACCCACTAAATGAGCTTGCGAAAATCTCAGTTCCCTGAGCAAGTGTCTGTGTGTGTGTGTGTGTGTGTAAGTGTGTGTGCTCATCAGTGAGCCATACGCTTGCCATATATCCTGTGGCATGCATAAAGAAAAGTGTAATAAAATTTGATTTATTGTAGACAAGATTCGAGTTGGATATGTTTTCCCTCTGCCCGTGTGTTAGTGTTGGTGTGTATGTGTGTGTGAGTGTGTGTACATAAACGTGAATGGTTGTGTGCATTTCGCATGCTCATTCGCTGCTGCTTCCACGCCTGCGTCTCGCTTACGAGGAGGCTTCTTCCGCCCACCGCCCACCGCCCCCTTTTTTTGGTAGCGCACACATCCTGGCGAATGAAGCGTCGGAATCCACCACCCACCCAGAAGCACCCACTTACCCCCAAAGCGACTCATGCATCACTCGTCTGGATATCATTCATCTCGTTTGCTGCCGTTTACCTCGGCACATTACCCACTCCGCACCACCCAACCACCCATGAACCACCCACCACCCATCCACCCACACAATCGCATTCACATTTTCTGACACTTTTGCTAAACTTTTGCACTGCAGGCGCTCGTCCTGCGTCCTGTGGCAGTCTCATTAGTCCTTCCCGGGCTTCTGGCTTCTGGCTTCTGTTCTCGGCTGCTCCATCGCCATCATGACGTCCCTCGCATCGTCGTGTGGATCTGAATCCGAATCCGAATCAGAATCCGAATAAGAATCCGATTCTTCATCCGGTGGTGGGTGGGCGTTCCTCGAGCTGTCTGCCCTGCGTTTTTTGCCAAGAAAAACTGAAAAATCTTCGGATTTGCGGGACAGAGAGACAGGACTGGGAGTCGTGGAAAGTCTGTTCCTGTAATTGCCATTTTGTAATTATTTCACTTGAGAATGGGTTGATGATTTCTATAACGCCTAGATGATCAACGGCGGTTGTGATAATAAAGAACAAGTTAGTAAGTTATAAAGTCTGGATAGAAGTTAAAAGTATGAGATTATAAAATTTATGAAATATTTTTAACATTTTAAAAGTAGGTTTTGTGATAGACTTACATTTACTTTAACTTACTATTTGTTTTAATAACATTTTAAG